CACAAGCAGGACGAGGACGAGGACCATTTCCGCGAAGCATGTACGCCGGAGTGGTCGGTGTAACATCCATCACGGGCTGCTCCTTGAGGTGGAAGCACACCGCATTCTCCGTCTCGTCCATGATCGTTCTGAAATCTTCGAAAGGCAGCCACATATGCCTACTCTCTGACCAGCCATCAAGGAGAGCGACGCCGCCCGTTTCTGGGAATAGTGCTGCCCACCAGTGACCTTGGTTGTCGCCAAGTGTTTGATGACAGAGCCATGCTGGTTGAGATCTCTCGACCATCTCGGTGTCCGGGGTGTGGATCAATCTCAAGCAAGTCGTTGCGTCTTCTTCAATGATCTGCAAGAGTGATGTATTCAAATCTGCAGCGCTCATGGACTCATTCTGGAGATGTTGGGCACACAGCTTGTCCATGTCCACATCTGGAGCCACACACGAGAAGGCATACAGCAAACAATTCTGGGTGACGGGCACTCCGGCTCGATGATCCACTACGGCGCCACGACGCAAAGCGACGTGTGGAAGAACTGAGGGGTGCACATTATCGGCCCAGGACTTGATGTGCAATGGGATAAGCTCCTCTGAAACTTTGTTACATGCAATGACCATGTCCACCTCATCTGGATAGGACGAGGTCTTCACGTAGCCGCCGTCGAAGATGAGAACATTCGGGGATGCAGAACACTCACTCATGAAAGCTGTAAGCATCTCAGCCTCGTCAAACGATAGCAAAGCCGACAGTCTGGAGAATTCCGGATTGCGCCGATCGGAATACAGCTTCGCCCATGCAGATGCGCTTGGATGATTTAGGATAGCCTCCGCCGCCTTCTGCACTTCGTCACACAGTTTCAAGAGAAACGGTGCTTGCACACTAGGCTGTCCTCCGTAGAAGATCCGGATCAATTCTGTCTTAGCATCATCGAGCGACTTGTCCATGTACTTGGCTAAGCATCGGCGCCACGCCACAAAGTTGTCTGTGAAGAGCTCCAGCATGACATACTTTGAGGAGTCCCATAGATCAAGTCTTTTCAAGCGCCTGACCAAAAGGCGAGGATGGCAACATGCGGCGTCGACCTCAGCACACCCCCCACCGAAAGCCACTTTGCGAGCCTCCTTGGTGAGCTTCTGACCTGATGGGCCCCTTGCCATGTAGCGTCCATAGTGCTTCTGGTAGTACTCGACCGAAATGATTGATTCCTTGCCGGACTGATGCCCATGACACTCGTGGCGCTCAAGGTACTGTCGAAGCATTTCTGGTCTTCTGTCTACATTGAGCTGCATGTATGACTTCAAAGCCTGAATGTCCGCGGTTTCTTCCAGCGTAGTTACTGTGGAGCTAACACTCGCGATGACGCCGGAGCCACTGGCTTTGTGTGCTTCCATACATGCCCGGTCCGATGTGAAGGCCTTGGCGTCCCACTTCTCTTGAGTGTGAAGCAGATCGAAAGGACAAGACCAATCAGCATACGTGCCAAAGACTTCGGCGCCTCCTTCTGTCTGGATGCATTCCTGCAATGTCGTCCAATCTATCAGAAGCTTCGCAAAGCACGTTGCATCGATCTGCTTGAACAGGTTCACGTCTGTATGATCTAGCGCATCCACGAAATTGACCAGCTTGGTGCGCTTCCCTTTCGACGATGCTGCACAACCAGGCAATGCCTCGACCTTCAGGATGAGGTATTCCTTGATGATGCGTCTCAGGGGAGTCGCTGCGTGCACGATCGCGACGAGGTCATTGGATTCCTTCAGTTTCTGGTCTGTAACGCCCGGCGGTAGCATCTTGTTGCCGGACAAGCATGTAGCCAACCATACCGTGTCGGCTTCTAGCAGGTCGCTGACGGAGCCGAGATTGTTGATCAAGGTCAAAGAATCCTGAAGTGAGTTCTCCTGGAAGAAGGGGAGACACCAATCTCGAAAATAGATTGCTGCCGTCACAGGATGAGATAAGAAAGCTGATAACTCATCCTGTGGAATAAGTTTGAAGATGCCATTCAGTGGGTCCACACGAGCGTAGTCTGATGTGAAGCTGCCCTTGCCAAGTCGGACACATACTACTCTCCTTTTCAGCTGCTCACAACACTTTCGTCGATCTCCACACTCCTCTATGACGGGAATGTTCTCATAGTTGAGCTCCTGAATCTTCATAGAGACCCCGAACTTACGCTTGCTGGTGAAGCCGTAATTGACCCTGCAGTCGATCTCCTCATCAACGACGAACCTTTTCCACAAGTCCGCAATGAACCGGGCATGGTGGTCCATTTCTTGGATCCTGACATTAGACTTGTTCCAAGCCAACTCACCCGATTTGCGAAATTCAGATCGATCCAGGAATACGCCGCAATCTAGGGTGGAGCTTCCGGACTCACCAAAGAGCGCGCGATCAAGAACGGCCTCCATGCCTTTGCCATCGCCTCCACTGCCTAGGAGAAAGAGAATCTTCGAAGTACAGGCTCTACAGAACGCGGCATGCAGGAAGCAAAGTTTGATCTGAAACCCATGAGCATTCTGGTAGTACGTGGACATGAGGAAGACTCTGAGTTTTTCCTTGAAAGTCTGCACATTGACATCCGGGTAGCATTCCATGGAATTCTCGTAGTAATATGGATAGTCCAGCTTGAGATAGCAGTTGTTCGCGGGAGACTTTTCGGCCATATTCCAGGATGCATCGAGATAAACATCCTCGAAACAGACTCCGAGACCACGTGGCATCGGTGTGTCCCACTCGATGAGGAAGAGCTTCGTCAAGGTCGCCATGATCCCGTTAGAGTCCAACTGTTTCCGAAATGAGGCC